GTGGGATGACGACCACCATAGTAGAAGTGCATATCCAGCCTTCCAGGGATATCCTTGTAAAAACTTGGATGAACAACGATCAGGTAGGTTTAGCGCTTCATTATATTCAGCAAGAAAATCAGCAAGAAGCATGGAATCTGGACTTCTATCCCGATTCAGTCTCCATTGGAATCCCTTTAATTATGCACAGTTAAGACTTATGCCACTTTAAAAATTTTGAAAAACGCACAGAACGCTGAGGATATCAGGAGCGAAACGCTCAAACGTCTTTTAGGATTATCACACAACCAAAAGGGGCTCCAATTTGCCAACAAACAACCAAAATCCATCTCAGATGCGACCACGCAGCGATATCAGAGTTTGAATCAACAACAACAAGAATTAGTGCAGACGATCCTCTTGGCAAACGACTTGACAGTGTTCTCCCAGGCCCAAGCAGGCACTGGAAAAAAATTCACAATGGCAATATGCTTATGCGAATTAATGGCTCAGGAAGGAGCTGTGTCAGTAGCAGCACCCAATAATTTAGCCATACAAAGCATAGCCCAAAAGGTGCTAAAGCTAGAACCAAATATTTCTATTAACGATTTAATATTCCTGCGAGCACCTTTCTCGAAAAAGATGTATAGCGGTTCTGCTGAAGACTTGTAGACTCGCTACCGAATCCCGGAGACCTTGCACCCACTGCAGGTGATAGGAATAGCCGAAGCACACACGGAATTCGCTATCAAATAAATAAGAAGAAGATTAAAACACGATGGCCAATCGTACCGAGATGGCGATCATGTCAATCACTGCTGGAAATCAAAACTCCTTGAATAGTATTTGGCACAGTCCAATTAAATTTAGCTTTTATTACGTAATGGGGAGAAAATCATTATCTAGCTTATCTTAATTACTCAATTATTGATGAAGGAGGATTAGTACGAGAAAGTACTTTTTAAAGCATGATTTCTACGTTACCTAATTTTGAAAAAATTTTTTGTACAGGAGATAAATTCCAATTGCCGTCCTATACCGGTAACTTACCAAGACAAATCATTCCGTACGGACATCGAGGGTTCATTCATCAATTGGCAATGAACGACCAGATCGCGCAGGTCAAACTGAAAAAAAATTATCAAAGTCACCCGCAACTTGTAGAAGCTATTTCAGAAGCGGCCTATGAGGGCCACCTAATACCCGAGCTCGATTTCGATCAGCGGACTATACGGCAAAAATTGGAATTTCCCGGCTGGCATGCAAAAACCCCAATTCTTTTCGTTCAAGTAATGGGACAAGAGCAGCGGTTGTTCACAAAAAGTCTAGTCAATTAAGACCAGAACCAAGTGGTTTTCTAAATTTGGAGATATATAGTTACTAAACTACCGGCCGCAACTTCCGCTATTCTTTGTTATTATGAGGCTTCTGTAGCCTATTTAAAGAATTGCAACCCTTTCTTTCCCGCTTATACAGTAAATCAATTTCAGGGTCGAGAGGCGGTCATACTTATTACCACCCGTGCTGGAAGAGCGGAATACGCATCACCGTATCAATGTGGTTTCCTGTTCGACCCTCAACGAACAACGGTGGCGCTATCGCAGGCGCGAGAAGGACTATTTATCATTGGAGACCAAAACCTGCTATATAAAAGTGAGATATGGAGGCGCTACCTTAACAAATACGACATCGCATGTGAATTAATGGAATTAAACTCCTGGCTAGAGACACGCTGAGGACATGAAACGTAATGTTCATCCAGGTTAAATTCACGTTTCTGTAATTCTAATTTTGTATGTACATTTATATATTTCATATTTTCGATAAGTTTTTGCTTCATAAGTTATGTACATATATGATTGTATTGGCAATGGAAGCTGAAGCCTACTCACTGAAACTTCTTTAGTCCATGCCTCTCCTTTCTTGACGAAAACTAATGAGGTCCTGTTTTAAAACGCCCACAGGTGACGGTCATCGCAGTTTCCGAGTGTTGGCACTCAACGGGTGCATAGCGATTAA